CATGACCTGAGCCGAAGGCAGTCGCCCAACCAACTGAGCCACCCAGGCGCCCTTTTTTCACTTTTTAAAAAAGATTTTTATTTTTAGGTAATCTCTACACCCAACATGAGGTTGGAACTCACAACCCTGAGATCAAGAGTCGCACACTCCACCGAATGAGCCAGCCAGGCACCCAGATTTTTTTCACTTTATTTGAAGCATTTTCATTTCATGATCTCTTATCTCCTAAGCTATCAAAAGTAAAAATATAATGATAGGTGAGAAGGGTAACACCTCTATGCATATAAATGAAGCACCAGAATTTAATTTTGTAACATTCCAGTCTGTTTTCTTACTTTCATACTGAAAATTCAAAGATTCTCATGATTCATTAGCTAAATCCAAAAATCCCATTTCCTATTTCAAAGCACAAAGAAATTAGACCAGCACAAGTAAGCATGCATATGTATTAATATAAGGAATGAAATTAATGATCCAGTTAGTAAATATAATACCTGATGTGTGTTTTCTGCTGGAAACAGTAGTTGATAAAGATTCAAGGCTACACTACTTTGAAAAGCATGGCATGGTAACTCATGCTTGGCACATTCTTGTTGAATTTGACAGAATTTAAAGCAATTAGGTAAAAAAAACATTGGTCTTTCAGCTGGAAATAAAGAAATCAAACACTTTTAAAAAAAGAAAAAAAACCCCAAAAAACCTTTTCTTCCCCCCCCCCCCCCCAGTGCTAAGATAAGCTTTTAAACAATCACTTAATTTCAAAGTACTTACAGTTAAGAAATAGGTTCTGAGCAGGAAGTGTTTAGTGGCTTGGGAAAGTATCTCACTAAAAGAGAAAGATATGTGAAAACAGAGAAGTAAACGTGTTTCTTTTGCAGACGTAGTACAAAGAACAGATTCAGAGGTTTTTATTGGCCAGTATAATTCTAGCAGCAAGGTGTGTTCCCGTTATCTTGAACGACGTAGATAGAACTAGAGAGTATTATGCTAAGCGAAATAAGCCAGTCAGAGAAAGACAAATACCATATAATTTCACTCATATGTGGAATTTGAGAAACAAAACAGATGAACATAGGGGAAGGGAAGGAAAAAGAAAATAAAATAGGATGAAAATAGGGCGCCTGGGTGGCTCAGTTGGTTAAGCGACTGCCTTCGGCTCAG